TATTAGCATTTTTTCCTTATTAATTCTTTGTCACATTTTGCCATTAAATCTCTTTGTCTTCTGATAGCTGGCATTCTTCTTTAAGTGAGGTTCCTGGGGAGTTGGACAGCTCGGGTTCAGGTTTAAAAATAAATATACCCAGCCATTCTGGTTCCTGAGAGAAGAACTGAACACATAAAGCAAACTTTAGTGAAGGTCTCATATGTAAATAAACTGTTCCTTTTAAATAAATACTGTTTTTTTAAGCCAGTCTCAAGGATTTGGAGTTCTGCTTTGTGGATTTTTTTTCAACATGCAGAGTCAGCAGTAATGCTTCCAACAGTCCCATTAAAATGGCCAGTGCCCAGGAATACAGACATCATAAAGTGAGCCAGGAATTACATGAACTGACAGGGGATGAACACCCAATTGAGAACACACTATCCTATGGATCAGCATATGTTATATAAAAAGCAAAGTATTAACTAAAAGAGGGGATTCTGTTGCCTTCCAAAGTCTCAGAATTACAAACTAAGATGGTTCACTTTTAGTGACAAGAACAGCACAGTCACAACAGGTCATCACATACTTTGTGGGAGTGGAACTACTGTGGGACACTTAGGCAAGAGCTGTAATCTGGAAACACACGGCCTCTTTGCGGGATGTAGGGTATCTAGCACGCTGTGCTCATGCTGTTGCAATATGCACGCAGTCCAGCACCACATGGGAAGTGTGAGCATTACATACCTCGTGGGTGCCCACATCTTAGCCACAAATAAGCAGCAATGCAAAGGCAAGATATGCCATAAGCCTTTTGAACATTAATAGGATGCCCTCAGGAAAGAAAAGCCTATCAGCAAAAGACCTATCAGCAAAACACACAGGCTCACACCCAGAACAGCATGGTCAATACATAAACAAATGGTTAACAAAGTGTTATTACCACTACACCACTGTTAACTTTAACAAAGATGGATTCACTCTCATTACAAAAACTCGCATGGAAGCTGTAAGGAGGAGAAATAAGAACTTAAAAGAGGGACGTGCAAGTGAGTCTGGTCGCACAGAACTAGCATGGTGGCAACAACTGTAATATTTAAAAATTAGTTTTCTTAGTAAAAAGCCCATTCAGTTTTATAAGCAGAAAGTTATTTCATGTTCATCATGTAGTATTTGAAACAACTGGATAAACCAAAGTACACGTTTCAAAAATAGATTAATACAGTTTGTTTTCATAGTGAAGAGTGATTTCTTCGTATGCATACTATCTTAAGAGTAACTGTACTAGCTCCCAGAATTCTGCGATTGTGTGACAACCTCCACTTCTATTAAAAAAGAAAGGAAAAGCACATTCCTACTCTTCATTGACATTCACATTCATTAACATGACATTCCTAAGAGAACGTGAATGTGATTTGAGCGTACTTTAAGGCTCAAAAATCAAAAGGTAAATAGAAAGACACCAGCATTTACAATATTGCAAGTTTTACAAGAGGATCATATTTCTTTTAGATGTGATTCATGATTTCCAAATGCTTCAGGTATGCAACAGTGAGTAATATAGAGACCACGCTGCATTAGTTGCTAGAGGAAGTTGCAGTAAGAGATGTGCTAACCCCAGAAAGGCAACTGTCACTTATAGATTCTAAGTACTTACATCACACAAACTTGGAATCAGGAAAGAAAGGTAAAAAAAGAGGTATTAAGATACAGCATCAAATTCCATTCCTATGAGGTCAACAGAAGTGTGGTTGCTAACGTCCAGAAGAACACCTTTTCACCCAATGGAAGAACTGGCAGTTTCCTGAGAACACCAGTACTTTAAGGATGAGAGGGAAAATATAAAACAAAATGTTTTATTCAAAACCCAACAGCCAGTTTTTTCTTGATGAAGAAGAGTCTCCACACTCCCTGTAGTCAACATTTACCTTTAAAAAAAGTATTTACTTTCAGTATCTACTTAAAAATTTATGTGGAGGTAGTGATACTAATGAGGTATTGATATTATTGATACTAACGCGTACTATTAAAGAAATGTGGAGATTTTGGATTGGTAGTGGAAGTATCCTTACTTTAGTACCAATCAGAAGATGTATTTTTGAAACATTTCAAAATATTTCGGCACACAGATTTTAAAGCGTGACTTGGAATATGCAGACTTTTCAGTCAGCTGTTCTGTGTATCTACATGCTATAGTTTTGCAGGAAACGATTCAGTTGTTAGCAATTTATAGTATTTATTGCCCTCCTGCTGCTAAGTGAACAGGTTTATAAACTAACTCATGCCCTTGCTGTAACAAACAGACGGGATATGTGAGTTGCATTGGTAAGTTCACAGGATCCCCACCTCTCTCATAGGACAGCGTACGTTCTTCTGATAGAAGGAAGGTGCCCAAGCGGGCGCTAGCCAGAAGTGCACTTGTGGGAATGGTATCTGCTCTGGGACCGACGGCTGTTGGTTTGGCCAGTGTCACAGGTGGCCAGAGGTAAGCACTGAACGTGAGGAGGCATAGTCAAACATGCATCCCAGATAGCTAGTGGAAGGTGCGGGTTGCTTCTCACTGAGGAGGAGGAGTGCAATGTCAGAAGGACTTCTCCTGGCATTTGCGATATCAGTTAGCTACTAGAGATTGGGAGACAGATCAAAGCAAGTTTAATGTGCTACAGAGTTCATGTTGAGTGCAATCTTCCTTACAGCTGGAGTTCTGTGTGTTGATCCAATGCACAGTACTTCTGCATGTGAAATGGTTCCTCTGCCAGGGAAACAAGGAGGAGGCTGTGCACAGCAGTGCCATGTAGAGTGCACCAGTGATACAAACCCTCATCTAGTGTGTCAAAGGAGGCTTAGATGAACAATAGGACAGGTTCTGCACTCCCAGGCGTGGCTGGTCAGAAATGCAAGGTGGGGTACAAGAGTTAATCATCACCATTCATCATCATCAGCACCATCATCATGAAAGATGGCTTCAAGCCTCTCTTCCAGCTCTGTAGACTTGGTTTGATCTTCAGCACGTAGCTGCCTCACAGCTACCTTAACTCCTGCTCTGCAAATGTTCCTCGACAACAAGATTAGAAATTTCAGTTTTGACATTAGCAGGGCACATCCACACTATCCTTGCTGTAGCAGACTGTGAGGGGGAAACGTACGACTGTTCCTGCAGTTGGATCTTGTTTCTGGACAACTTCTGCACATGGTGTTACAAGGCCAGGGAGAGTCAGGTCAAAATGGAAACTCAGCCTCCTGCACTTAGGATAAACAGCAGGTAAGCCCAGGGTTTTGTCATTCAGAGTGGATAGACAGAGACACACAAGTCAGAACAAGATTTTCAAGCCTCCACATGATGTTCTGCTGCTAAAGGACCAACCTGGAAGGGCCAGTGCACACCTCACGCTCTGAGAAATGTCAGTATGACATCTTTCTATGTTGGCACAATCACTCTGACAGGCACACATTTCTGTATATAGACAGATAGCTTCAACTGTAATGTATTTGAAAGACTGTACTTTCCCAAAGAAAAGAGCAAAATACATCTGGGCAATTGCAAACTTTGTGAGGGTGGTGCTCAGCCACCGACGGTGAGGATGCAGCTTCCGAGAGCGTCCATGCCATTACACCTCATCTGTCTCCTCACAGCTGCCTTGTCCTGATGCTGGACTTCTGACAGAGAAAAGTTCACCCAGCGCCGTGGGTGGAAGCGAGCACACTGCCCGCCACCTTGGGATAGGGCCCAAGAAAGGTGGGCTCTCGGGATTCCTTCAGCCACTGTTAGGCTAAACCTGTAACCCGGAGACGGTGTTAGAAGATGTTTGGCGTTCGGTCCGACGCCTCGCGCTGCAGCCCATCCCCAACTCATCAGACATTCAGCTATCAATCGCCTTTTAACGCCTGTTTACGGGCGTGAGGGAAGTAGCGCCTTTCCGGCTCGAGCTGCCTTTCCCGCCCCGAGGTGCCTTTCCCGCCGCCCACCCTCGCCGTCCCCCGCGGCGCCCCCGGCGCG